AAAAGGCAGTTTTAGAGGTTTTAATGGTGAAGGCAAAATCTCAGAGCAACCAAATGGAGAACAAGGAACACGGGGAACAAGGGAAAGCAATCAATGACTAGTTATATCCAAGTACGGCAGCAATGGCTGACAAGAGAAGGGGGTTCGTCAACTTCACGCTGCAGAAAGGCAAACAGAAGTCGTTTTTGTAGCCAAAAACTCACTGGATGGAGGACAGACCAGTAGATGCATTGGGCAGGGTATTGTGAGCGTATTCGGGCAATACTAACGGCGTACTCCAGTCAGAAGGGTTCACAGGTTCGAGAGGGGAGGCAATTGACAGCGCAGCCTGATGAAGATCTGATGAAGATCAGATGACAGACTCAGTCGTTCCAAGCAGGTGGCAGAAAGCTTAGCAGAATTGTGCAACAAATTGCAGGCTCCATTCAGACAATGGTATTGTCATCAGAACCACACAAGGTGAACCAGTGATGAAGTCCAGGGAGAAGTTAGACCATGGTCGAAGTAGCACAGGCAACGGTTTGGAGACGTGGAAGAATTGTTTTGGCACCATACATCACAGGCCGAGCCCAGTTCTGTTATAACTTTCTTCATGTTAGGCTCTAGACATAGTTCTTTCAATTCATTTCATTCTTGTGTTGTAGCCCTAAATCACAACAGTAGTCATTTCAGAGTACTTAACAAAACCATTGAAATGGCCAACATGGATCAAAGAATCAACAGTTAAAACACAAAAAATATAGAACACTTGACCAATGTCCATGAATGTCGGTAAATGTCCATACATGTTGTACTGTAGAATGTTGGAGTGTCCAGGATCATCACCACAGTCCTTCGTGTTAGACCACTAACAGTCTCACAGACCCTACAGCATTGGCAAGGAAAAAATCTAAAACCCATCGGAGAAAAGTGAGAAAGCTCGGGGAGATCCACATTGAGAGAAGGATCTGCTCCACACGGACGGATGGGCTTTAGATCCAGGACCTAAGCTACAGAACGAGGACCAGGGCTACGCAGCGGTTGTAGCATGAGGACAAGTGCGGTGCAGGACTGAAGCAGCTCCAGGCGGGGAGGGGGTGCAGGCCACAAGGCGGGTCAGGCAGGGCAGTCCGCAGGTGTAGATAGAGGGGGCCAGGTTGAGAAGTCCCGCCATCGCACCATGAAACAGACAATGGGACAACATTGCAACATTGATATGTTGCAAGGCCACTCTGACTTTCAATGCAATGATATTGGCATGAACAAGAATTGGATTTTAGTGTCACCTAAAGAAGAACGAATATGCATAATGGTTTAGAGCAGTGTTTTTCAACCTTTTTTGAGCCAAGGCACACTTTTTTCATTGAAAAAATCTCACGGCACACCTCCAGGAGAAAATTTAAAAATATATACTATGCATACTCTACGTGAGATCAATAAAGTATATCTTATCTTATAATATATATACTCTGTAGCCTATATTCACAATATACAGTTATTCTCATCATAGTGCTTAAGTCCAGGCCTTGACATTAAGCTTTATTTAATATTTCTCAATACAATGAGTTAACAAGAGTTTGGGAATGGTGGCACTAACTGTGTGGAAAAAAAACAAAGAAAATTCACTCTCTGCCCAAAAAGTCAAATAATAACTCTCAAGTACACAAATAACATGCATTGTTAGTGCATGGGGAAAATTTAGGCATCCGAGCTTTAAATTTAGGAGTTTTGAATGAGGGACACAGGAGGTCCTGAACGCGAGTCCATGGTTCTGTCCGGTCCGCATGTCTATGGTTCTGTCCACGCGACTACGGTCTGCGGTCGGTACCGAGTTCGGATGTGCGTTCGCGTGAGCTGTTGTACAAAAATTGTACATTTCATAGTTAAACCACTACAACGTGGCCACAGCTGCCCCGGGGCAGAGCGGAGGATGTGAATCCTGTTCAGAAATGGCATCATTCTTTTTCAAAAACGTCTCCATCACTTTCACTTCTCACTCGCCTCAAAGCTCTTGTCTTGCTACCTCACACATTTGTTGGTCGCATCCAATTTTACTTTTCTCGCCACAATTTTCCCGCTACCTGTTACAGCTAGTGGTCCAACTTTTCAGTTTCAAAGTACTTAGCTATCTGCTGCCATCTACTGATATGAAAAAGTATTACATGGTTACTCCACAGTTCAAAATAAGTCACCGCTCGCCAACAGCGAATGCAGTTATTTTTAGACAAAGTAGACGCATTTCTCACGGCACACGAGACAGTATCATACGGCACAGTGGTTGAAAAACACTGGTTTAGAGTATAGAAATACGATTCCACTCAGCTGTAGCCCAAGCTCTGGGTCAACCAGTCAAATAGGAGATTATATATTCTACTTAAGCACGGCCAAAGGGAGAAAAGGCAGGTTGGAATTAAAAATGCATCTCAAATTGAGAGAGAAATGGCCGCCAGTCTCCTGTCTCAACAGAAAATTGCTCAGGGCTGGAAAAACATGTGGAAAGCGCCAGGAGTAGCAATGGTTGCGGGCAATTCAACAGGGGAAGCCTCCATCTTCGGAAGCTAAATAACAACTAAGTTCATCTGAGCAGTAATTTGAGTAAAAGCCTCCATATGGCTTTGATTAGCTGCTCGTAGCTGAGGTTACTCACTCGATCGTCCTGCTGAGGTAGCCTTTGTCCTTGGGCTTTAATTGCTGATTGTACTGGATCTGAGGATTCTGTGTCTTGGCGAGATTGTACTAACAGACTAGTACAAGAGTGGCTCAAACAAGAGCCAAATCAAAAAGGCAGTTTTAATGGTGAAGACAAAAGCGGCAGATATGCGAGAATAGGGCTCTTTTGGAATGCCACTACTCGAGTAACCCTGGCCAGAGAGGGTACAGGCATAAAACACTGTCCACAATGTCCACAATGTGAGAGGGGGAGGTCCCACCAACACCAACTCCCCAACCAGATATTGGGTACAAAGCCTCAATGGAACCGATAACCCTGAACAAGGCAGCGACTGACTTGAAAGATAAGATCATGGCAAAAATGGGCAAAGAGCACAGACACCGATTACAGAGGTTGTGTGCAGTACCACCTGAAAGTCTCAAAGAAAGCGTGAATGCAGCAGTGAGAGCGATACCCACTGCCACTATCACTAAAAACCAATGAGCTTGTGATCCGGCATGTGTGAGAGGACATTTTTTATGTTTTGTAGTTTTCAGTGATGTTTTATATATGCGTGTTTTTAGTGTTTTAGCATGTTAGTCCTGCTCCAGCTGGAGACATGCCACAGAGCCCCATGGACGCTGTCACCCAATCCTGTGCGCCACACAATTAGAGCACCTGCGCTTAATGAGAGAGCAAAGGAGAAAAGGGCAGGTGGAGCATGCAGAGGGAGCGCAACGGAACGGAGGAAAAACGACTGAGGACGAGAGAACGGAGGACGTCTGAGTGCAACGCGTTCGAGAGACCACGGCTCCACAAGACCGAACCGAGCAGTGACCCAGCCTGCACCAGCGTGCCCTTTCCACGCAGCGGCAGAGCAGGAAAGCTCTGCCTCGTCTGTGAGTAACGCTCTGTGGATACGCTGGTGCAACCAGGAACGCCTCGGGCCCCAGCAGCTGGCAAATTTTCTCTGTGTACTGTGTACTGGTTCTGGTCTTGTGGTAGGGAGCGTGGTGGAGAGGGAAGCGGCGGTCCGAGGAGGCACCTGACCCGAGGAAGAGCACCGTGACGCTGACTACACGCAGCGGCAGGGTGAATCCCTGCCGTGCCTGTAAGTACTTCCAATCATTGTAGCGGTGCTATAAGAGCATTTTGTGGGGTCTCTTGCTTGTGTGTTCGGCTGTGTGGGGCTGCTGTTTCGTCCTTGTGCCCAGGGGTGGAGCTGGACCGCAAGCAGGAGACGGTGCCTGACTTGTGGAGAACGCAGCGGCAGGGTGGATCCCTGCCGTGCGTGTAACTGCCTGCCCGTTGTCCCTCGTAAAATCCGAAGTGGAAAATAGTTCCTGCCGGTCTTTTTGTTTTTGTACGCGGGTCCCCTGAAGACGGCCCCTCAGCGCTCGAGACTTTTTATCACATTTTAAAGACTTTTAAACTTTGTTTTAATTAAATTATTGTAATAAATTATTTTATTTTTAACAGTTTGCTGTTTACCCTTTTTTTTGGTCACACCACTGCTCTGCCATAGCTGTTTTAATTCGGTCCACCACTCCATCATTCCCTCTTGCCTCCAATAATCAAACCCCCATTACAAGCTGAAATAGACTTCAGCGGCAGTGATCAGATGCTTGGCTATAAGAGAAACCATGGGAACCATGACAAACAATACCCATGAAAAAGACAGTTGGCGGCTAAGATCAAGGCTGCTCGGAGAGAAGTGAGTCAATTCACAGAGGCACAGGAGAAGGCAGCACATAATGCCATTGTGGCACCTGGCCAGATGTGGTCAGGGCCTAGCAGCACAAATGAACCAGCTGCTGAGGGATGGGACTCACCCAGAATGGCTAACCGAAAGGCAAATTATCCTGATCATGATGGACCTTGTGAAAGGTGCACTCCCCTCCAACTGCCGGCCAAAAACCCATCTCTCCACAACATGGAAGCTCATGTCAGGTATCATTGCGACTAAGAGAAGCGGGCACATGGAAAAATTCATGAGCACAGGACAGAAGAGCATTGGTAGACATACCAGAGGAACCAAACACCAGCACCTGGTTGAAAAAACAGTCACCCAAGACTGTTGGTCACGACACACCAACCTGTGCACAGCCTGGATTGATTACTTGAAAGCCTACAGCTCTATGCCACACACATGGATCATGGAATGCTTGGAGTTGTCCATAACCAACAGGGCTCCTAGGGACTTTGTTGCAAACTCAATGGGGATGTGGAAGACCACCCAAGACTTAACTAATACATTGATTAACCCAGGTCTTGTGTTCTTCACTAGTTTAATATCAAGAACAATTTATCACTATCATCATCTTTTAATTTATCCATAAAGATGTTATGTCATGAATGTTTTGTGTGTTACCTGGTGGAGTGTACCAGGAGACAGTGGGGCTCCAATGGCTCCATGGGCCCTTCATGAGCTGTGCTCGCACTTGGGCCTCATATCTGCGCCCAGGGATCAAACTCAGCTTTTCCAGTTTCTTACGATTGTCGAAGGTCTCCTCTGACTATAAAAGAGCAAGCACTCTCAGACATAGCCAGTAATGGCAGAATGTGAAATTACAGTGATATTAGAAAATATTTAAAACCAGGTTTAAAACAGTTCTGTTTAGCTGTGCTAACAACTGAGGGATTTTATATTTTTATCTTTCTTTTTAATGTACTGTGATTATTTATTTATTTTAATGCTTTCTTGTTTTGTTCAGCACTTTGATTTGCCTTGTGTATGAATTGTGCTATACAAATAAACTTGCCTTGCCTTGCCAAGACATGTTTTAATGTTTTTTGTTTGTCTCTCTCAAGAGATTGGCTCTCTGACCAAACAAAGTGACATAAACAATTAAACCATTACAGTGAATAAAGTCAACTTAATGGTTTCAATGTTAGAACTGTACCGTCCATCCGTGTCCTTCTGGTCTGTAGCTCAGTTGAAAATGTATGCCATCATTGAATGCAGAGGGTTGTGAGTAAGGGCTGGACCATGTGAGCAATCGTCCGCCGTCATCTGTACGTGATGTCGTCAGGCTGACTGGTGCTTGGGGCCTCACTGTGGGACAGAACAGCAATGTCACGCATGGGAGCCAATGGTATAGTTTATAGTGAATGACGAGCAAAGGGTCCACAGTGTGTCTGATCCAGGAGAAAACCGATTGACAAAGAATAAACATTTTTACAAATCAAAGAAGGATCTGAGAAACTGTGCAGTCACACATACAAAAATACTTTATCAAAGATGACATGATGCCAACGTATTTTGACAAAAGTATAGAGTTTATAATTTCATTACGTTAAGTCAGAATGTCTCTGGAAAGAAGTTGTTCCTTCACGTTGAACATGTTATGAGGACATTTTACACTTCTAGCTGTGGAGTTTAACGGAAGTATACCTGAGTGTATTGCTACATACAAGTTGGGTTAAAATTAGTAATTTATTTGTAAAGTTGAGTCTGCTTGTGTATGAATTCAGGTCATGAAAAGATCCGAGTAGAAAATTTGCGTGACACTCGCTCTTTTCCACTCACAGAACGAGGAGCGGTGCTGTTACAAACAGGCTGCCTCCTCTAGCGTCTGCAGCGCATGTAAACAAGTGCAGCATGGCAGCAGAAAGTGGCTATATCTCCTCGGGCTGAAACTGCAAACGCTGCAACACAGGCCAAAAGACTGAAAATTGAGGAGGTGAAGAGGGAAACAAAGCAAAAAAATTATCAAAGAAGAAATCAAGCCCGTGTGAACATAGCTTACATTGTATTCTCGCAGGAGAGACCTGCGGATGTGGGATCGCCTCGTACTACATTTGAACGTGAAACTAGCGGTAATCTTCCAGTTATATACTGTATTTTGTTAGCAGTGCGTTGCTTTTGTACCATTTCATCAGTGATTGTTGTACAGTTACAATAGGTTGCGCTAATGCTAACGTTTGTATACGTATCAGATCGCAAATAAAACTAGATGGCTCTGTGGGCGTTGTGGACTCACCCCTGGATTGCCACCTTAATGTGGTGGGGGAGTTTGAGTACTCGGATGATCCTGGGAGCTATGTTGTCTGGGGCTTTATGCCCCTAGTAGGCTCTCCCATGGCAAACAGGTCTTGGGTGACGAGTCAGACGAAGCGCAGTCCAAAACCCATCATGGATACTGTAGCATGAAGGGGTTGGGGTTGGGATTTGTGTGCGAGCGTCTTGGGGCCAGGCCTTTGCCCACGGGGCCTGGCCAGGCTCAGCCCGAAGGGATGACTTGGGCAGGCCCTCCTGTGGACCCACCACCCACAGAGGGATCCGTGGTGCAGAGGTGCGGAGAGGACTGGGCAGCCGTCTAAGGCGGAGGCCTCGACAAGGCCACACATACAACGTCTGGCTCTTGGGACGTGAACATCACCTCACTGGGGGGGAAAGAGCCCGAGCTCGTGGGAGGGGTGAGAGATACTGACTAGAGATAGTCGGCCTCACCTCCACACACAGCTTGGGCTTTGGAACCCAAATCCTTGAGAGGGGTTGGATGCTCCACTTGTCTGGTGTTTCTCATGGGGAGAGGCGGCGAGCTGGGGTGGCCATTCTCATTGCCCCACATCTCAGCCGCCACGTGTTCTTCACCGGGGAGTTCTCCTCAATGAATGAGAGGGTCGCGTCCGCCTCCGGGTGGGGGACAAGTTTCTCACGGTTGTGACGGCCTACAGGCCTAACAGCAGTGCAGAGTACCTGGCCTTCTTGGAGTCCCTGGGAGGGGTACTGGACAATGCAACGACCGGGGACTCCTTTATTCTCCTGGGGGACATAAACGCCCATGTGGGACACTTGGAGAGGGATGATCAGGAAGAACAGCCCCCCTGATCTGAACTCCAGCTGTTGGACTTCTGTCCTAGTCACAGTTTGTCCATCACGAACAGGAGGGGGACATTGAGTCTGAGTGGACCATGTTCTCCACCTCTATCACCGATGCGGAAGCTCGTAGCTGTGGTCGCAAGGTCTCTGGTGCTTATTTGGAGAGTCCATGGAGCATGACGATCGGTCATGACATCCGGCGCCTCGCGAGGGGGAAGCAGTTCTTTGCCAACACTGTGTATGGTGTGGGTGGGGAGATGCTGACCTCGACTGGGGATATTTTCAGGCGGTGGAAGGAGTACTTCGAGGTTCTCCTCAATCCCCCTGTCCTGTCCTCCGTTCCGGAGGGAGAGGCTGAGGATGCTGGGGTGGATGCTTCCGTCCGGTCCCTGTATGACCGGAGCCATACAGGGACCGGCAGTAAGTCAGACCTGTTCCCGGTGCATGTTGGCCTCCGCCAAGGCTGCCCATTGTTACCGGTTCTGTTCATTGTCTTTATGGACAGAATTTCTAGGCACAGCCAGGGGCAGGATGGGGTCCAGTTCTGGAACCACAGGATTGTGTCACACCCCAGTCCTGAGACTTTACTTCCTGTTTTATTTTTCACTTACCTTGTGTGTCTCATTGCAGAGCTGTTCACTTCCTGGTCCTTGTCTGCCTTCCCTCCTGTGATTACCTGCCCCGTTCTAATGTGTTGCACCTGGGTCTCTTTGTCTACTCCTTCCAGTGTACTTAAAACCCCTGTTTCATTGTTTCTGTGGCAGATTGTCTTGTACCCTGTGTGTTAGCCTTCAAGCCTTATTTTTGTATGAAAACTATTCTGGAGCCGTTGCATTTTGAGGTCTTCAGTTTATGCGGTTCTGATAGATTCCATCTCTGCTGTTTGCGGACGATGTTGTCCTTTTGGCTAAAACGAACCAGGACCAGCAGCATGTACTGGGACAGTTTGCAGTCGTGTGAGAAGTGGCTGGGGAAAGAGTCAGCACCTCCAATGGCCATGGTGTTTGACCTGAAAAAGGTGCCTTGCCCTCTCCAAGTGGGTGGAGAGGTCCTTCCTCAAGTGGAGGAGTTCAAGTATCTTGTTCACGATTGAGGGAAGCATAGAGCGTGAGATTGACAGGCGGATCCGTGCAGCGTGCGCAGTGATGCGGTCACTGTATTGGACCGTTGTAGTGAAGAGGGAGCTGAGCCGAAAGGCAAAGCTCTCGATTTACTGGTCAATCTTTGTTCCCTCCCTCACCTATGGTCATGAGCTTTGGGTGATGACCGAAAGAATGAGATCGCGAATACAAACGGTCGAAATGAGTTTCCTCCACAGAGTGGCTGGGTGCTCCCCATGGATCTATAATAATAACTGGATAGGGTATTACTAGCTTATAGCTGTCCCACCTATGGGTACAGGGGGCGCCCGAGGTACTGCAGACTAAATTCACACGGGCTACCCAGAAAAAAGTCCCATAGAACTCAATGTATATTAAAATAGCTCGACCTCAGCTGACAGAGAACCTACAGCTTTCATAAAGATCGGTTTTTGTCGGGATTTTATTTGTCCCTTGTCATCCTGAACTTTTTTCTTCTTAAATCCTTTGGTTTTCTTTAAATCCACACTTTACTGCCACAAACTCTGCTCCCTGCCTTCTCGCTCTGGCTCCGCTCTTCCGCTGCTCTGATGAGCAGCTCTGATTGGTCAGAGCGCGGCCGAGCCCCTCTGTGCGCATGCAGGAAAGCCACACATGCACGTTTGGCGCGACGCATGATGGGAGATATCTCCCATCATGCGTCGCTCTAATCCACTGCGCAGAACCGGGAGGACCAGACGATGCCCAAATATAGGCGAGTTCGTCATAATCTCCCGGTCTCCATGAAGTCCCATGCGCTACTGAGCACAAGCCATTCATTTGAATAGGGCGCCATCTTGGATCACCCCTTGGTACTCCCTTATGGTACTTTCAGACCGGATCATGCGTTGCGTCGGCTTTCAATGCAAAGTCTATGGTGACGAGCGCACGAGCGTCATAACGCATGGACCTCTCGGCACGCACGGACGGACTGTTCAGTAGAGACGCACGGACTTGGCGGGAAAGTCAAAGGGGAGGAGCAGGAGCGAAAAATCGATGCCCACAGGAGATGGATTCTGCTCATCCTTTTCTTGGGAGGTTCGTGCGACAACCAATCAGAGAGCCGCAAAGTGGTCACGGGGACATTAGCGGACTGAGCGAGCAGACCGGGGCTCCAGCGTTTTAGCGTTGGCGGTCTGAAAGCACCATCAGAGATAGGGTGAGGAGGTGAGGGTCGAGAGAAACCAGTTGAGGTGGCTTGGGCATCTGTTCTAGGTGCCTCCTGGACGCCTCCCTGGGGAGGAGACCCCGGGGAAGACCCAGGACACGCTGGAGGGACTATGTCTCTCTGCTGGCCTGGGAACGCCTTGAGGTCCCCCCGGACGAGCTGGAGGAAGTGTGTGTGTGGATAGGGAAGTCTGTGTTTAGACTGCTGCTCCCACGACCCGGCAATGGATGAAATGGAAGAAAATGGATGGATGGGCTCTGTGGGAGAAGAGCGTAGGTGAGAGTAGGAGGGTTTCTTAAAATTAAAAAGAACGGGTATAGCTCCTTTAATGTGAATCACATAAGACAACACTCAAAGATCAATTACATGAAGCTAAAGAAAAATTCAGACTGGAAGACAGAAGAACTATGTGTGCTCAAGTTGACTGGCCAGACCTCCACCTGTTGCTGTGCTACAACAGCCATCGTCAATCACACTCAGATGCCAGTCCTCACCTTACCAGCATTTAAGCACTACCCTGCTCTGAGCGTTCATATTGTGCAGAAAGCTTTCATTCAAGCAGCAGCCTTCATTCTTGAAGCAACAGTCCTCCTCTCCGTCACCGCCCTCATTAATTGTGTCCAATTAGGAAGCTGTGCGGGCGGGTCTAACTGGTGCTTGAATTAAAATGTCTCTCCATCTTGACAATTTAAAAAGTAAACTGACTTCACTTTAAGTTTGGGAACCTTGTTACAAGATATAATGTCTCTGTTAATATTGTATTTGAGTCTAGACTTACGAAGACTGTGCAGATCCAGACTTTTGCTTTGACCACTGGAGCAGAAGCCGCCCATTTCTTCAAAGAAAGCTGTGTAAGTTGTTCCTGGAGAAAAAGTTTTGGTTTCATATCTGCACTGAGTGATGCCCTCCTCATTTGAGGTGTAGTCTTCACACAAACCACTCCTGAAAGACAACAACCAATCAATTTAAAGTTTTAATATTTTCCATGAAACTTACTATTTCTGCTTTACCTGCCATTTTTCACTTTGAGCCAAAGCTTTAATTTTCCATTGGGTTTGCTGCTCGGCTCCTCCTTCCATTTGCATTGAAAGAAGGACTTGTAGTCACTCCAACACTGTAAAGATTCCAGTATTGGAGACACTAGATACAGAAGAACACAAAATAAATACTTTATTTAGGATGTGTTTGTCCCCAGTATAGTTAAAAATCTCTCCTATAGCCACCTTGGTGTTTGGTTTTAACCAGAGCAACCACATTTATCATCCAAATATCTCATCTCTGCCTGAACCACTCCTAAATCTGTTGCAATAACTGACCACTATGTTGGCTCCAATGGCTTTATGATTTTTTATTTATCATTGCATTTATTGCGTTTGAACTGTTTGATTCTCTGATCTGTGTTGGCGAATTTAACGATTCCATTTATGTCCTCTTCACCAGCACCTTTCATGTTATTGTTTTTTCACCCATGGGGGAATAGCAATTGCTCTCTAACCTTTCCTCCAAATCAATGGCTGGATTCAAAACACCCCATTTGGAATATATTTTGTGTCTGTACCTGTTGGCTGAGAACGATGGCTGATGTGGCACCTGTCCGCCACAGCAAGAACACATGGGAGACACAAGCACCACACAAGGAACATTTTTCTTCTCACTCAGCCGGATTCCATCTTACAATGCAGCAGAAGACATTATTATTTACTCTTTCTGGTTCAGGAAGAAGACTTTGTAAAGTTAAACAATGTTAAGTTTTTCCTAGAAAGTTGAGTTAGAGCAGGGGTGTCAAACTCATTGGTCCTTGGTCAGGGGCTGAATAACAAAAGCAGGAACTGGTTGGGGGCCGAAATAATAGAAATTTCCTTTTCTGGTATTGTTTCTTTACATTATGAAGGTATTTCGACATGACTTTTATTTGACATGGGTCTCATTGTTTTTTTATGGTTGATTTTTCAGCAAACAAAATAAGTTTATTGTTTGGATTTAACGAGAACTGGACCAAATGTAAAGTTTAACACCTTGTTATATAGATCTATACATACATAGATAGATAGATACTTTATTGATCCCCCATAACAGAAATTCAGGTGTCCAGTAGCAGCAGAAACACATGCAGTCATACAAAAAAAAGCAGAGGTGGTGCCGCTGGGTAACTTCGATGTGTTTGAATATATTAAAAATGGTTGTTTTCTTGAGAATATATATGATGTATAACATGCCATGGAAGCTCATTACCGTACATGCTGCAAGTTAATTGTAATGAATGAAAATCACTTTTGGGGGCACTAAAAATGGCTGGCTGTATTTGGCCCACAAGCCTGAGTTTTGCATATGGATACTCTTTGTTGCGAGAAGTAAGTAATCACTACAAACATTTGCACAACAGTTGGTGCATTTCTCAGAACAATTACTACAATTTGCAAAACCTAGTGGATAACCTGCAACAGCGCATCACTTTCTTAAAATGAAAAGTTGATACCCCAAAAGCAAGTATTCATGACAATGAAATTGTCTGTGTCATCAAAATAAAAAGTTCTGACGCCATTTTTTATGAACAAGAGTGAAATGACTTTGTCATGTTTTCATTGTGACGTTTTCTTTGTCAGATCTTGGTGACGCTACATGAAAATGCTCAAGAGAGCACTATTTACAACCCAAAAGCTGTACACCCAACAACTACAGTGAAGTTACACATTACTGTATTTAGTACAAGACACATATATGTGTGTATGTATGTATGTATGTCAAACAAAAAAATGGCATGATGGTAAAACTGTGCACAAATGAAAGCAATATAACAGTAAATGCTACCGTAAACTGAACATACATTATTCCTGGACTGCCATGCCTTCCTGTCTGGCCACATATTTTCATTTACATCACAGCGGATGTGTTCCTTTGAAGGCGACACATTGTGACCAGTTCAACTCTTTTATATGTAATGACTAAAGAAATGAAAGAAGGACTATTAGTTTTATAGGGAAGGACTTTTCAGCTTTAAAATTATGTTTCATTTTGACGGACATAAGAGAATTGTATGAATGTAACTGATGTCCAAAAGTGTCCCAAATCTATTCATTTTACACACATGTGTTTTGACATCTGAATTGTGATGGATTCACAAGCATTACTTGACAGAGCTGACAAACACTTGACTTTCACTAACACCAAATTCCCCCTCTGGAATAATAAAATCACCTTGAACCTTGCACCATACAAGAGCAGGCCTCACATTGTATTATAAAATGGTGTCAACAGTAAATGAAAATGCCCCTAGAAGTAGACAGATAATTGATGACATCTAATGCTGGTTTAACTCTTCAGGAGAGTCAACCAGAGTGTAATCTACTCTCCAAAAGCAACATGTGGAAGCACCTTTTTTGGTCAGCGTGGAACAAATTTGAACTTTTATGTACCCCTTTGATGCGAACATTGAGTTTCATATTAGAAACAATAAAACATACACACAGCTGTATACACTAAAAGGTTAGGTTTAAAAAAATTACAACACTCACCCTTTCAGTTCATTCTTTGGTTCTTGCAATGTTTAGTTTCCTCTTGTATTTGGAAACTTACACCCTCAAGATTTCCTAACTTCCTGTGAAGTATTTCTCAGGATTAAAGTTCCAGAGAAGTTATATGAAGCAACACAAGTCAAGAAAATTGGTCAAATAGTGACTCTCAGTGCTCACATATAAGTATGCAAAAAAAAAAAAGGCGCAATCTTTCATTTATTTTGAGTCCAACAGTGGCAGGCAGTGCCTTTCAGATCGGATCCAAACTCAAGTCTTGGCTAAGGGTCACACAGCACAACCCGCGTTTAAACTCCAAAAGAATTTGTGCTTTAAAAGATTTTTTTAAATATATTTCATGGTTCTGAAATATAGATGACCCAAGAACCACCACTTCGACCACTACTGCAACTGCACACATGCAAAACTATGTGGAAGCACGGCAGTAGAGCAAGTGAGGACAATATGGAAGGAAACTGCAGTATTTGAAAGTTTTTTCATCATGAGTATTGTCAGAATCACAAATTTGAGATTTAGATTTGGCTGCAGAGAAAACTATACATAAAACACAACTTCCTCTTTCCATCAATGAGGAACTGCACAGATTTAGCTACAGAGTTTGAGCTTCGACAGCATAAAAATGGATCCGTAAATCAATTGGTTTAACTCTATCTAAAGAACTGAAAGCTCGTCAGCTTCTCTACTTTCTGCGAGCTTCCTGTACTGGAGGTTCTTTCTAAATCCAGACTTTTATACCGAGCTCTTAGAATAATCAATGACTCTTCTGGCCACCTTGGAAAAGCCATGTTCGAGCTTCTTCCTTCTGGCAGAAGATATCGTTCCCTGAGATGCAGGATATCTCTATATGCTAACAGCTTCTTTCCACAATCAGTTTGAACAGAGCACTTCAATGATCTTGCACTTGTATTGAAACTGTTATTGTTGATAGATTTCACAGTGTCAATTGTTTACTGTGTTTTACTGTCTTGCGCACACTGGGGACTTTTGCAAATGTATTCCAATGTGGTTTTACTGCAAATGGCAAAATAAATGAATCTGAATTCCAAGTTGGTGCTGGTTGTGCGTTTGTATCTCTTGATGTTAGTTACACACCTGTGTGAACCAGTGACGACATCTTTTTCTGGACCAGTTGGCACCTGTACCTTATAGAGAAATACAACTTTTTTAAAATCATTTTTAAATTCGGTAGTGGTTTCTTAATGACATCAACAAATGCTTTTACATCATATATATACAAGCGAAAAATACATGTACAGCATTATTTAATGTGTATCTCATAAAACAATAATTTATTTATTTAGTCAATTCAATATGGAGAGACTAAACAGAGTAGGCGACAGGGAGAAACTGGGTTGCGAGAGCTTGAAGAAGCGTTAGTTGGTTGGAAGTTGCTGCTTTTTAAACTGCCTGCTTGATTGCCACAGGTTGATAGGGAGCCTGGCGGAGCTCTGTGATTGGCTGAGGTTGAAGGGGCTGCCTCTGGATGGGATGGAACTGCAGCAGGTGTCTTCTAGTCGGAATTTACTCTTAGATGATTTTCATTTCAACCAACAATGCTATACAATATCATTTCAATCAATATATCAATTAAAAAACCCAGTGCATACAGTAATACATGACACAGTACGTGACGCAGGGGGGGCGGCATGGTGGCTGAGTGGATAGCACTTCTCAGCAAGAAGGTCCTAGGTTCGAATCCAAGTCGGAATAGAGTGGAGCGTGCATGTTCTGCCAGTGTCTATGTAGATTTCCTTCGAGTCCCCCAACCACTAAAAACATGCACAATGGGTAAATGCTCCGGCTCTGGTCGTCCTGACCAAACCCAGCGCCACACCTGGAGATGGGTTCCCGGGTGCTGTATTATGGGGATCAATGCTCCTGACAGAGGCCTTAGTAACAGTGAGATCCATAAAGCTTATCTTATCTTGTCTTATTTGCAAGATTTACAATTCACATTTACAGATTTTATAACAAAACACACACACACACACACATTCAGACAACACACAGGTCCAATTAATCTTGAGGTTTGTCTTCCAAAAGGAATTGTCCATGTGAATTTAACTAATCTGTCGTGGACAAATAAATCCAGAACAAATCAGCTGCAGATATAGCTAATGACTCCATTCGTGTAAGCAGGCAGAACGCAAATACGTGTCTAGAGTATTATTTGTTGCCAGCACAATCCCGAAGAGGCTCCCAATCTGTTGCCGTTAACTCTCCGTGGGCTTAATGACAAAGTAATGTAAATGAATGAGATCAATAGTGTGTGTGCTCCAGGGAGGCCGTGACGAAAAAGTCAATTATCTGCGTGCGTTTTTTGAAGACAGGCCTTGGTTCTTGTCTTGTCTAGAATACAGACACATGAGGCTAATTCCGATGTGTGGACCGAATGCACAGAGCTGATAAACTGCTCCAGAAGCCTGTGCTTTATCACATCTCCTTCAGGCTTCCCTTTGAGTCTGCCTCTCCAGCACTCACTCTATCACTTTGTCTCATTACTAGGGCTGTGCGCAATATGTTTCGAAGAGGACTGTATATAGATGGACAAGGCTAACCCCCTAGCTCAAAGAAGCCCAATAGAGAAGTGCTCATGGAGGAAGTTTTGCTCCAAGTCGCTCTGGCTCCTATTGACTTGATTGATTTGTGTTTTAGCAACCATCTTAGCAACACCCTTCCCCCTGTTACGATGCAAAGCTAACCCCACGAAAGAAAAGCTCTTATAAGGAAATTCTTCAGCTTGCTTTAGTTCGATTTGGTCTATTCCGCGATAGGCCAATGCTATGGTGATGTCACACTCAGTCAGTCCACTTCTATTATACGATCTATGGAGACGGCCTGTAATTGTTGATGATGATTTATTCTTCACCAAAATAAGATATAGTCATTTGGGTAGCCAGTTTGCTTATAAGTGATTTTGGCCCTAACACAGTTCACAAACAAATACATGGTTCCACACATGTGTTTAAATGAAAGCAGATTAAAAAATAAATAGTCATATGTCATACATAGAGTTTGTATCTATCTTACTCCAGCTGGTGGATTGCATCAGTATTTAGTGCGATTGTAATTGACCATTAGACCAATAGGAGAGCATATTACATCCGTTCATATTACATCTCTGTGAATGCATTGAATTTAAACTTATGTATGAAAATTGTTAATGATTTGGTGGCAGGGGAAATGTATGAATAGACTCATCTTTTTGCCTCTAGGTTATTCTGAATTGCAGCTGCCAAATCTTGGAAGAGTTCACTGTTTTAAATTAGGAGTAATGATGATGATGGTGATGATGATTAGCGGCAAAGTGGCAAGTTTTATGTACATTTGAAAACCACTAAAACTGATTATGAACTTCCCACATCTTTATTAGATATATAATTTTGCCGTGAGCTGCTATGAACCAGGTCTGAGGCAGGTCTGAACCAGAACTGAGTCAGGACTTAGCCAGGTCTGAGCCATGACCGAACCACGTCTGAACCAGGACCAAACCATGTCTGAACCAGAATGAAATAAACACTGACCAAGGTTCTCAATCAGGTCCGAGCCAGGACTGAGCTTGGTTTGAGCCACAACTGAACAAGGACTGAACGAGGACCATAAGCATTAGGCTGAAATCGACAAGATTGAACACAAAACAGACTCTGTCAATAAGAGGATAAATAACATCTCCATTCTATTAGTAGGCAAAAAAGTATACCATTTGAACTTCAGACATTGGGAATACTAAACGCTAATTAAAGAAATAAACAATTCAGGGGATAAATGCAATCCCCCATTTGTTGACCTTAGCAGTTAAATCATATAAAGATTAGTGACCCTCTGCTCTTGAGTGATTGACTCTCCTCTTAATGGGTCTCATGTGTGAAACTTGTGTACGGCCAAATCAGGGTGTAAATGAGGCGTACGCAAAAAATATTTACACTTTTCCGCAAGCAGGTGCCATGAGAGACGCGCCACATAACTCCTCAAATGCTGTCATTCAGAAGTTTTGGCTCCAGAGTTTCTCTGTAAAATCTGGACCGCTCTATACAGCGCTTCATTGCATTCACAAGACGCTGCAGACGCTTCATTGATGAGAGCCACCGCTGCACAATATGAATTAATTAATTCATTCTTTCATTCATTCTTTATTTATTCACATCTACAATTCAAGAGAGATTTTTCAAATGTATCAACATATTTGTGCAAATTTGTTCAAAACACAGCTGAATATATAGCGTATATTTTGATTTTACATAACCATGAACAAACAACAACGGGGCGTTTTACAGGCAATTGCTGCATAATTTTAGGCGTGACTTTGATTAATAGGTTTGTTTTCAGCCGCGGGATTTATGAACACCCGCAGGTGCGTACGCTCAGACCAGTTTTACCACCACTGGGACATTCTTTGTCTGCGACCCAAATCAAAACAGAAATAAATAGAGCAATTTTAAATTAGATTAAATCCCTTCAGGACAATAGTGATATTTGTATTACATAATGTAAAATAATAGACCTTTGTTGTATGTCTTCTGTCTTCTGCATTGTCGAGGACCTGCTGATAATAATAAAAGATGAATTTTTAAATATATTTAACTTATATTTGCCCAGTGCACTCTGCTGATGATAATAATGTGGAGGATTCTGTGGTGTTAGTGATCATGCCGATAGGTTTTATTCTATTTTCTCTCATGAATCAATGTTGTGGTTTGTTCGCTATATGTGCAAAATGTGGGACCTAAAGAATAAAAAAACACGTTATCTTCTCCTCCAGCTTTGAGAGTAAGCAGAATTTTCTCCTGAGCTGCTGCAGTTGTTGTGTCAGTCCAGTTTCTGTCAGAGAGCCATGTGAGCCTGGGCAGCACGCTCTCCTCTTCACTCACTGAACCTCTGTCAGGCCACATTTAGCTAAAGTCCTGGCCCTTTTCCCGCCTGGAGCTCCCTCTGCTGACATCTCCCATTGCTTTAAACACGCAGCAGACACCAGTGCGCTGCTCACATGCACGTCTCATTATGTCTCATGGTGCGCCACATTAGGGGAAGCATGACATCAGGGGTAATGGCTCCAGGCTTGATTCTGCAATGTGAGGTGTTGTGGTTTTAGTGGAATTAAAAAGACCACTGAGGTGTGGTGCGTGTGAGCGGTCACTGCTGAGGATTCAAATAATCCAAAATAATCAAGCTTGTTTTTACCATTGTTTACTTCAGAATATAAGAAAGGCATTTATTTCTGCTCTGTGTGTGTCACTTTAACTACTTGAATAAATACACCCGAACACACACATTGGTTTGATGAACCAATATACAGTATCTGTTGGTTGTGGGTCAGCAAGACACTATAGTTACTTGTGGGACCGATCAATAATTGGTTGGAATGGTGGGGAAAATGCAACCACTATGTTTACTTGGATAGTTGATTATGTCTATTGTGGTGCCACCTGCATGTGAAGGCCATCAGACAGCTGAAGCTAAGCAGGGTAGGACCTGGTCAACGCTGTGATGGGAGACCTGGGAACATCAGGTACCACAGTGGGGTGGCTGTAAGGGCTGTGTCCCCTCACTTAAGTGTCACATTACCTAGGATGAGCCTGGTCCAGGGGTCCCCAATTAAATTTGCACGAGGTCCACTTACTTGATCAGTTCAATAGATTTAAGCTATTTCTTTCATATAAAATGATTTGAAAACCCAACAACAACTACAGTAGTAAGAACAATTTGAAAAAAAAAAATCTAAATATAGGTGTGTATAATTTACTCATAACATTAATCTACTTTGTTCATTTCTACACAACACACCACAAACCTCTCCCAAACTCTCAGAGCAGAGGCTGCAACACATGATCATTGTGGAGGATGAGGGGATCTTTACTGTTGAAGTGCTTCTTTCTATCAAACAATGTTTCTGTCATCACCTCCTCCTCCTCCTCCTCCACACACTCTGACCTCCTCCTCCTCCTCCACACACTCTGACCTCCTCCTCCACACACTCTGACCTCCTCCTCCTCCTCCACACACTCTGACCTCCTCCTCCTCCTCCACACACTCTGACCTCCTCCTCCTCCTCCACACACTCTGACCTCCTCCTCCTCCTCGACACACTCTAACTTCCTCCTCCTCCTCCACACACTCTGACCTCCTCCTCCTCCACACACTCTGACCTCCTCCTCCTCCTCCACACACTCTGACCTCCTCCTCCTCCACACACTCTGACCTCCTCCTCCACACACTCTGACCTCCTCCTCCTCCACACACTATGACCTCCTCCTCCTCCACACACTCTGACCTTCTCCTCCTCCACACACTCTGACCTCCTCCTCCTCCAAACACTCTGACCTCCTCCTCCTCCACACACTCTGACCTCCTCCTCCTCCTCCACACACTTTGACCTCCTCCACACACTCTGACCTCCTCCTTCACACTCTGACCTCCTCCTCCTCCACACACTCTGACATCCTCCTCCACACACTCTGACCTCCTGCTCCTCCACACACTATGACCTCCTCCTCCTCCACACACTCTGACCTCCTCCACACACTCTGACCTCCTCCTCCACACACTCTGACCTCCTCCTCCTCCTCCACACACTTTGACCTCCTCCACACACTTTGACCCCTTCCACACACTCTGACATCCTCCTCCACACTCTGACCTCCTCCTCCTCCACACACTCTGACATCCTCCTCCACACTCTGACCTCCTCCTCCTCCACACACTCTGACCTCCTCCTCCTCCACACACTCTGACATCCTCCTCCTCCACACACTTTGACCTCCTCCTCTTCCACTCACTCTGACCTCCTCCTCCTCCTCCACACACTTTGACCTCCTCCTCCACACTCTGACCTCCTCCTCCTCCACACACTCTGACATCCTCCTCCTCCACACACTTTGACCTCCTCCTCTTCCACTCACTCTGACCTCCTCCTCCTCCTCCACACACTTTGACCTCCTCCTCCACACTCTGACCTCCTCCTACTCCACACACTCTGACCTCCTCCTCCACACACTCTGACCTCCTCCTCCTCCTCCACACACTTTGACCTCCTCCACACACTCTGACCTCCTCCTCCACACTCTGACCTCCTCCTACTCCACACACTCTGACATCCTCCTCCACACACTCTGACCTCCTCCTCCTCCACACACTATGACCTCCTCCTCCTCCACACACTCTGACCTCCTCCTCCTCCTCCACACACTTTGACCTCCTCCACACACTCTGACCTCCTCCTCCACACTCTGACCTCCTCCTACTCCACACATTCTGACATCCTCCTCCACACACTCTGACCTCCTCCTCCTCCACACACTCTGATCTCCTCCTCCACACACTTTGACCTCCTCCACACACTCTGACCTCCTCCTCCACACTCTGACCTCCTCCTACTCCACACACTCTGACCTCCTCCTCCACACACTCTGACCTCCTCCTCCTCCACACACTATGACCTCCTCCTCCTCCACACACTCTGACCTCCTCCTCCTCCTCCACACACTTTGACCTCCTCCACACACTCTGACCTCCTCCTCCACACTCTGACCTCCTCCTACTCCACACACTCTGACATCCTCCTCCACACACTCTGACCTCCTCCTCCTCCACACACTCTGACCTCATCCACACACTTTGACCTCCTCCACACACTCTGACCTCCTCCTCCACACTCTGACCTCCTCCTACTCCACACACTCTGACCTCCTCCTCCACACACTCTGACATCCTCCTCCTCCACACACTTTGACCTCCTCCTCCTCCACACACTCTGACCTCCTCCTCCACTCACTCTGACCTCCTCCTCCTCCACACACTTTGACCTCCTCCTCCTCCACTCACTCTGACCTCCTCCTCCACTCACTCTGACCTCCTCCTCCACACACTCTGACCTCCTCCACTCACTCTGACCACCTCCTCCACACACTCTGACCTCCTCCTCCTCCACACACTCTGACCTCCTCCTCCTCCACACACTCTGACATCCTCCTCCACACACTCTGACCTCCTTCACACACTCTGACCTCCTCCTCCACACACTCTGACCACCTCCTCCTCCTTACACTCTGACCACAACACGCTTTTTATGCCCAAAATCCACTGCGAGCACTAAAGTAGGGCATATGCTGCTTGCTAATGCTTTTAATATGTTTTTAATGTGTACCTCTGTCTCGCGCCTCCTCCTTCTTCTCCTCCTCCGCTCATACACAGCCAGTGTGAGCAGCTGAACGCAAGCGTCCATCGCTCCGTACACAGCGCTCCCGCCTCTTTCACGTCTCTGACTCTCACTCGGATTCAGACACTGCTAAAGTTATTTTGATAGCTCCGTATAGTTTTGCCCCAAAGGACCCGCTCTCCCCATAGCCACCCTCGCGCCAACCTCCTCCTCCTCCACACACTCTGACATCCTCCTCCTCCACACACTTTGACCTCCTCCTCTTCCACTCACTCTGACCTCCTCCTCCTCCTCCACACACTTTGACCTCCTCCTCCACACTCTGACCTCCTCCTCCTCCACACACTCTGACATCCTCCTCCTCCACACACTTTGACCTCCTCCTCTTCCACTCACTCTGACCTCCTCCTCCTCCTCCACACACTTTGACCTCCTCCTCCACACTCTGACCTCCTCCTACTCCACACACTCTGACCTCCTCCTCCACACACTCTGACCTCCTCCTCCTCCTCCACACACTTTGACCTCCTCCACACACTCTGACCTCCTCCTCCACACTCTGACCTCCTCCTACTCCACACACTCTGACATCCTCCTCCACACACTCTGACCTCCTCCTCCTCCACACACTATGACCTCCTCCTCCTCCACACACTCTGACCTCCTCCTCCTCCTCCACACACTTTGACCTCCTCCACACACTCTGACCTCCTCCTCCACACTCTGACCTCCTCCTACTCCACACACTCTGACATCCTCCTCCACACACTCTGACCTCCTCCTCCTCCACACACTCTGACCTCATCCACACACTTTTGACCTCCTCCACACACTCTGACCTCCTCCTCCACACTCTGACCTCCTCCTACTCCACACACTCTGACCTCCTCCTCCACACACTCTGACATCCTCCTCCTCCACACACTTTGACCTCCTCCTCCTCCACACACTCTGACCTCCTCCTCCACTCACTCTGACCTCCTCCTCCTCCACACACTTTGACCTCCTCCTCCTCCACTCACTCTGACCTCCTCCTCCACTCACTCTGACCTCCTCCTCCACACACTCTGACCTCCTCCACTCACTCTGACCACCTCCTCCACACACTCTGACCTCCTCCTCCTCCACACACTCTGACCTCCTCCTCCTCCACACACTCTGACATCCTCCTCCACACACTCTGACCTCCTTCACACACTCTGACCTCCTCCTCCACACACTCTGACCACCTCCTCCTCCTTACACTCTGACCACAACACGCTTTTTATGCCCAAAATCCACTGCGAGCACTAAAGTAGGGCATATGCTGCTTGCTAATGCTTTTAATATGTTTTTAATGTGTACCTCTGTCTCGCGCCTCCTCCTTCTTCTCCTCCTCCGCTCATACACAGCCAGTGTGAGCAGCTGAACGCAAGCGTCCATCGCTCCGTACACAGCGCTCCCGCCTCTTTCACGTCTCTGACTCTCACTCGGATTCAGACACTGCTAAAGTTATTTTGATAGCTCCGTATAGTTTTGCCCCAAAGGACCCGCTCTCCCCATAGCCACCCTCGCGCCTGCCTGTTTGCAAATCGTTTTTGGGGAAAATTTGACACATAATTGTAATAATGTACTTTTGGACAAAAAACCACAGAAGTCCAGAGAAAAGGGTCTCGGGGTCCGGACTAGGACCGCGGCCCGCCATTTGGGGACCCCTGGCCTGGTCTGTAGTCGACCAACTTGCGTCGTCATTCTGAACATTTTGGTCATAATAATTTGGCGCATGACCAATATGGGTTCATAGATTGGTTGTTTCAACCAAGGGCTGGGAACCTCAGGGTACATAACGATACGATACGCGATACAAAGCTCACGATAACAATTAAATCACGATATGACGATTATCAACATGTTGGTCAGAAATAAACCATATGCCAATTTATGGCCTAAATAAAAGAAAAATGTTAAGTGGAAAAATACACTTTATTTCATGATAAATGGAATGGAGTATTGTAGTCATATATTAAGTATTGATACTAATAAAAAAAATAAAAAAAATAGATAAAAACAAATTGATACTTGGAAAATGCATTATCGATAATCAATCACGGGAGAAAGTATCGCGATATATCGAGATATCGTCACACTCCTATTTCAACCATCAGATCGAACACATAACTACAAACTAGATTGATTTTGTAAGTTGCATACACGTGACATCACAATATTCTAGAATCCATATATTAAGTTGAGCTGGAACCAGTTTACAACTCTCTAGTTTCCATGTTTAACTCTTCCATATTAAACATGTCCATGTTTAACCCTCCTGTTATGTTGCGGGTCAAATTGACCCATTTTAAAGTTTAAAGATCTAGGAAAATGTATTTAAAGTATTTTTTCAGTGTTAAACCACTTCTGCTTAACTTAATTAGTGCAAACAACATGTACTATGAAAATGGTTCATCTCATATATTTTCAACCACCCCTCTGCAAGTTTGTATCACAGATACTGTTCGAGTCAATTTGACCCAGCAGCACAACTGGAGGTTAAAGGGTATCAGAAATGTCAGAGTATTTCTCTTTCTGCAATTGTAAGACATATTTCACTCCAATCAAACATGCACACACACACACACATGCACACACACACACACACACACACACACACACACACAGATGCAGATGACTTTTGGTGTGAACCAGTTATCCTCTCACGAGAAAACTTCACCCACATTCAGTGGACACTAAACAGGGGAGGGGAAAAACAAGTAAAGATTCTTTGTATGAGAGTCCTGCCAACATTACACTCTTTACAAAATGATTAGGCTAAGTAAAAAGTTGACTATTTAGGATCATGGATTGTGATAATGATATAGAGGAGGATGTTTCTGAAGAGCATGACTATCTTCAGCTAAATTCTGATTCAGATTATTCTGATTTTGAACCAGATGGAGGAATTGCTATGCCTACTACTCCAAGCAAGACCTTTATGTCAAAAAATGGTGAAAAACAGTGGTCTTCATCCCCAAATGTGCGTCAGGCAAGACTGTCTGCAGAAAACATAGTAAAGGCAGTGCCAGAGCCCACTAGAATGGCAGTGAGAGACCGATATCAAGTCCGCTTTTGAGGTGTTCCTGCCAGATTCAAAAAAGAAAATAATTCTTGAAATGTCTAATCTAGAGGGGAGGCAGTTTTTTGAGGAGAAGTGGAAGGAGCTGGACAAGACCCATTTAGTAAGTAATAGTAAGTAATCTTTATTTATATACTGCCTTTTCACTGCACATCGGAGTCTCAAAGCGGTTTACAATTGTTATTTTTTTTGGGAGTGGGGTCGCCAGTACAGGAGGCACATGCCAGACCTATTGTACATATTTTTAGTGGTAGGGGAAACCGGAGCACCCGGAGGAAACCTACGCAGACACGGGGAGAACATGCAAACTCCAGTCAGAAAGGCCCTGGTCCAACCGGGATTTGAACCCAGGATGGCAGTTATTTGGACAGTGTGGGACAAGTGGGTAGAGCAACTTCGGCTACTATACAACCCAGACCTAATATCACAGTGGATGAATGGATACCATTGCACTAAACATTGGTAGAATCATTAGTAATGAGTTAGTAACTAAATATTCAGACTTATTATTAGGCTCTTTTTTGTTTTTAGAACCTTTAGGATGATTAAAAAATGCACCGGGTCAAATTGACCAAGGAACACCATTGCTGTACCTGAGAAATGAACATAATAGGAGGGTTAAATGACAGAGTGAAGACTAAGTAGCAGAAAATAACATGTAATGGCTGTCAGTTGAAAGAACTTTTAGCCATAAGATATATGTCAGCATGAGAATATAACGTACACTATATACAAAGTGTTACAAATTGTCATTCAATTGTGTTCATGTAATTACTTACTACATGGTATTTTATGTTGGCTTTTGCTGGTCAATGTGATGTCACACTTCATCTGCAGTCCAGTATAGATTCATTACACATCCATTGTTATAGGCCCACTATATTCTCACCTTTTGCAGCCTCACGTTCTCTGCTCCTGGAAGTTATTGCCCCACAGTTAATTGCAGCCTCCCATGTGGCACGCAACATGGCAGGATAGGATTACATTCTTATTTAATGGATGGAAGGAGAATTTTAAGACTTGGAAATGGATTATGTCCAGTCATGACACAGGGTTAGGCCGCATGGAGAGACTTACAAGGAGCACACTTGTTCTTCTCCATGTGCTAAAGGTTACAGCTTGTAGCAGCCAGCGACATTTACTGTTTGCATGATTTATTGAGAGAGAGTGCGACCTTGATGCTGGCACATTTGGAGAAAACAAGCTGAATTTATTATTGAGATGTTAAGTTAGGACAAATAGCATTTCATTAACTCTTTTTCTACAACCATTTTGGCAGAGACCTGAAAAAACTCACTTGATTTAGGGTTTACATCATAAAATATTTTCTGTGTTGTTACAGTATGAATGCAAGTGGGAGTCGAGCTGACTTTGATCAAAATGCAATCTAGATTCTAATAGTATTGCACATTGCAGCTCTGTAATTACATCATCATTACAAGCTATTTATTAGTGTTAGTGCCCTGCAACATCATAACTCAGTTTTACAGCCAAGGTCAGTTTACTTTTCAAATTGTGAAAATGGAGACATTTAGACCCACCCTCACAGGTTCCTGATTGGATGCAATTAAATCAAATCTTAGTTTATTTATATTGCGCTTTTCACAGACACAGAGCGGTTTGAAATTGTTGTTGGCATTTGTCATCTCTCTCCACATAGACTCAGGAGGCGAAATTGTACATGTTTATGGTGGTAGGGGAAACCGGAGCACCTGGAGGAAACTTACCTGGTTGATAGATGAGTACTCACCTCATGGGTTTCACTTCAATTTGGAGAGACGAGAAACAAGAAGTTTTGAGTATTTTATTTAGGAGGAGGTTTGGCGCCCTAGGCCCCGGTGCGGCCTTCAGAGCGGAGGGCCTCCATGCGAAGGAGCGTGCCAATCCCCCGGGACCTAGGCACTGGTGGCGGCATTTTGGCAGCGGGAAGCAGATTGAAGGCAGATTGAAGGCAGGGTGAAGAGGAGGAGGAGGGGAGGCGGTGGTTGCAGGCTTCGAGAAGGCCGCGAGTGGGCGTTTCTCCGCTTTTAAGCGGCTTGCCTGGCCGGTCCGGTGATTGGAAGGGGGCGTTTGCTGTGCGATAGGCTGAGGATGAGAACCGGCCTGGAGGGGTTACCTTTGGCTGACGTCTACCAAATTGAACTTCCGCTGGCTGCATTTCAATTTGGAGAGACGAGAAACAAGAAGTTTTGAGTATTTTATTTAGGAGGAGGTTTGGCGCCCTAGGCCCCGGTGCGGCCTTCAGAGCGGAGGGCCTCCATGCGAAGGAGCGTGCCAATCCCCAAAAGGCTGTGTTGATGGATTTTTTTGCGGCCTGGTTTGGAGGGGACAGAACGACGAGACTACTCTATGCTGTGACCGCTATCGCTATATACTGTGACCGCTATCGCTATATACTGTGACCGCTATCGCTATATACTGTGACCGCTATCGCTATATACTGTGACCGCTATCGCTATATACTGTGACCGCTATCGCTATATACTGTGAACGCTATCGCTATATACTGTGACCGCTATCGCTATATACTGTGACCGCTATCGCTATATACTGTGACCGCTATCGCTATATACTGTGACCGCTATCGCTATATGCTGACGACCATCATGCGCTAACCCTTTTTTGCTATATACTGTGACCGCTATCGCTATATACTGTGACCGCTATCGCTATATACTGTGACCGCTATCGCTATATACTGTGACCGCTATCGCTATATACTGTGACCGCTATCGCTATATACTGTGACCGCTATTTGCTGTGACCAAACTTGCGGATACTCAGCTGCAGCCGCCACCAGGAGTTTAGCGAGTGTTTTATGGAGATGCCAAAAGCCGCTGGGCTGCCAGGATGGTCGAGGTGTCAGGCCTGATGTATGAGGGGAGGGCCGATGATGACCAGTGTTATGGCAAGCTGGTTAGTCTCAAGGACGCCAACTCACCCCCCGCTGCTCTATTCAACTAACCTGCAGGAAGGAGCCGGGCTCCCCCCTGCACCGACAGACAATGACGCAAATTACTATCTCACCCTTGCCTCTTTTGCATTTTGCATCTCTATCGGTCCGTATGTCTGCATCTCTATTGTCCCTTTTACATTCTGCATGTCTATTGTCCCTTCTGTTGCATCTCTCATCAGGCATGGCGCCTCGCCTCCGGATGCCCGTCTCAAACTGTGACCCCCTCCCATCTTTTGTGGGCGTGACTGTCTTTCATGTGTTGTCTATGTAAACAGGAACCTGTGTCTGGCCGCGCCAGAGCTGATGTACGCTGCTTTGTGTATGTGAGCTCTCCGCACGTGTGTTACAATAAACTTACGCTCCTGATTAAGACAAATACCTTTTGAGCTTTTTCATTACTGTGGATAGAAACTTCTACAACAATTTGGCGTTGCTGGCATGTCTTGGCCTGGTTTTTTTCGGCGGGGACGAGCGGCTGCGTTTGGCCGACCTGGAACAAAGCCAGCCTCTGCTCTATTTGGAGACAAAGGGAGGGCGCGCTCGTCCGGCGCATGAAAAGAATCTTTGGCCACACAAGACCAAAAAGAACCTGATTTGGTGAGTTTTGTCTTTTCATTTGCGTAACAAGCCCAGGGCAGCACTTAAGTGTACACGGGGATTTGATTTATTTACGTATTTTTGGGGTATTTCATTCATTGCCACAGCATAGACTGTGTGCGGGATTTTTGGGGTATTTTGTTCTAGATTTAAGCTAGCGGCTGCGTGTTAGTATCGCTCAGTAAGCGACCCTGAAGATATCTCTAGTGCCTTCAGCCAGGCCCGCTCCGTTTCAAGAACGCGCGCTTGTTGGGTATATAGAACCAACGGGGGGGGAACGGATCGCTCCTAAGTGAGTAAGAGCAGGGAGAGACTAAACGAGGCTAGGTCCATTGTTCTGTACGAGAAAATGGGGAAAAATCAATCTAGAGATGCCACACCGAGGGGAATGTTAACGTCCCCCGTTACAATGGCAATGGAAAAACGGTTCGGATCTAAAGCTATGGAGTGCTTGCCTATATGGTGCAGTTCATTTGGCTTTCCCGATGGAGGCTCTATGTCTCCGAATCAATTACGCATCTTGCGTGAAAATTTAGAAGAAGAAAGGGAAATATTACTTGGTTTTAAGAATATCACGGCAAAAGACGTTAGAGAAAGAAATATGTAAACACAATAGCTCCTCCGCTTTTCACCGAAGCGGAGAACACACAGGCGTACGCGTAAGGCGATCAGCCCCGAGAAATATTCCCCAAACTCCCCTACTAACAATAATTGCGCACCCAAACAAGGCGTTGGGTTTTTAAAAAATGAGCAGACTACTGTTGTCCCCTTTTCCTCTCCCTGTCCAGGTCTGTCGGCGCTTTCCTCCGCGCCCTGCCCTCTGCCTCAAAGCCCCAGCACCAGCCCCACGCCCCAACCACGGCGGCGCTCGCACCAGCTGAGACCCCGCGAGAAGTGGGCCCAAACCCGGGAGCAGAAGAAGAAGCGGCGGAAGCAGATACACGCTCAGGAAACCGCAGAAGAAGAAGCGGCGGAAGCAGATACACGCTCAGGAAACCGAAGCTCACGACTCACTCCGTGGACACATTATGTGAGACACCGACAACTGCTTTGGAGGCCAGAGACAAACTGCTCCAAATCCCGTGACTGTTGCCCCACAGAGGCGGCAGCGTGAAACACCAAACGCACCCGCTGAAACCCCGTTGAAAGTTGCCCCCGCACCGCAAACAGAAGAAGCCATTGGGACCGGCACGTTTGGTCATTAACCAACCCTCATGGACCACAGGCTAACATTATTTGAACGCTTTGGGCTACCTGGGCCTCCTGCGGACTTTGAGAAACTTCCACAGCCCGGCGGAAAGACTGTGTGCTCGACATGTGTCGAAGGACTGTCACCGGAGGAGGCTTTAAAGGCAGAGGACCGCTCAAGCTCACACGGGGCCAGAGGACGGCAGAGGCGGGCGTGGAGGAAACACGAGCGACTGATCAAACCCGGGTTCACATTCGTCACCAAAGCGACCGCTCATGTCACGTAAGTTTGAACAAGAACAAATTGCAATTGCCACTTTTTTTTGAGAAAATTCATGCTAAATTTCCGGAACATACGCTAACAATCTGTGGTGTAAAAGTTAAAATTCTGGATGATTCAGGGACAACAAATCCTGTGTTAAAAACAAAACATAAGGTGACAGATTTTGGTCCTTTCTCAAATGAGTGGTCGCTTCACAAAACTCATGGCTTCAGTGTAGCGAAGATAGGCTACAAACGGAGTATGTTTATTGGGATAGGCACTACTCTATGGTATCTGTGTTACTTAATGAGCAACAAGAACATTTTATCGACCCACTATGCCCCGCTTTGCACATAGCTTTGTCCAAACCCACGACTGCAGCGTGGAGTGAGGCCTCTGTCCTTATTGATAAGTGTAGCAATGCTGGGGACTGGACACAGGTCCAAGATGAGGACACGTGGTTCTTTGAAAATGCTAAATTAGAAACAAATAGGACAGTTATGTCTTTAATAAACAAAGGTGAAGTATTAAAGTTTGAGACTAATTTACATTTTTAATGAATCCGACCTGGCTTTAACAAGA